AAAAAAAAAAAAAAAAAAAAAAAAAAAAAAAAAGCAGAGATTTGGTATAATTTACAATCTTGTTCAGGGCATTGTAATATTTACATTAAGCTACTTTTTCAGGGAAAGAATTTACAGTTTTGCATATTACATAATAACTTACCACACATGTTCTCCATTCTGTATTACATTAGTGCTAAACAAGCCCCTCTACTTTAGCATTCAGCAAGGAAAAAGATAAAAAACAAATAATAAAAAGAGTATGGTCATGATGTAAGGCTGCTTCCTATCCAAGCCCAGGCACAGAAGGCCCTCTGGAATGTCCTGCTCTAATACTGTCCCTTCCTTCCGTTCATTCCTCACCTCCCACTGGATTTGAAGTACAACTGTCACTCTTCTACAGTGGTTCTGCTTTGGCCACAATGCAAATCTTCTGGGCTCTTGCAGAACCTCAAAATGACAATTTGCAAGTGGAGAGATCAATTGGACAAGGTTTCCTAAAGAAAAGCCATTGCAGCAGGAGCCGAGAGGCAGGCGGCCTTGGTGAGTTCCCTCTTGCAACTTCTCTTCCCTTTAAGTTAAGCAGAAATAGTTAAAGAAATTCACACACATATAGCTTCCTCACTGCCTGAGCACAAAGTATCTACAAGGAAAAGAGATTTCACCTACTGATCTTAACCAAAATCATTTTTTCAAGATTTATTTTTAAATAACTGGAAAAAAAATCCTAGTATTTCCRTAAGCGCCCTTTTCAATTTTCTGTTATTCTTCTACTCTGGCCATTCTGAATCAAAATCACGTTCTGAAATACAAAATACAAAACATTTCGTATTACTCAAGACGGACATTACCACTGACAGAAGAGTGCYTCTGCATTTGAGTCTACAAGATTTGTTTGGTTTATTTTTAAATATACATTGTATTCTCAAATAGCCTGTGCCAAAARGGCATACCCCCAAAACGCAAAATTCAGGAGGCCTGGATATAAAATGGGATAAAAAAATTGCAGTTAACTGTTGTTCTCTCCAATTAGTGACATCCAAATCCRACTTTGAATATTCACAATCCAGATCAGGGAACTGGAGTTTAACTCTGCTTTTCTTACAGATATATTAGTATAACACATGGTCAAGTCCTAAAATGTGTTATTTTAATATACCCTTAATATTCYAAATAAGGTACAGCAATACAGATTCAAGTAATTGTTAAAAGTTTTGCCTTACATTACCTTAAAAAGTGTAGCTTTCAAAAGCTGACACTAAAAAAAAAAAGATTTGGTGTGATTCAGAGTGTAAAGTACCAGTAACCGTAGATTTGAATTTAAATAATATTTTAACAGTTCTAATATTGTATTTAAGTTACATAGGTATCTTAACATAACCTACAACATTTACCATGAACACTAACAACACATAAGCATCACAACGTTAGGCATTGTTTTCTAAACCACAATGTCACTGGTCCCAGGTGTCTTAAAATAATATGACTAAGGCAGGAACTATAATACATAAACAATTATTTAAGAAATACACTTAATGCTGAGAATCGTGGAAATATATAACAAAATACAATTCACATTTATAGCATAAGGCCCTTTGGTTTCTTAAGCAGCAAATGAAAGAACAACTTCTTCAGTGAAAGGCTTTGAAAAATAAAGTACGTAGGCTTTCCATAAAAAAGGTAACTAGTTCTTTCCTTCTCAAAATAGCCAGCTACAGTCTTCAAAATATTATGTTAAGAAACTTCCTGAAATTCCTAGGAAAGAGAAAATTAAAATCCAACTGTAATATCTGTCAGAGCAGAGATTCTATCATGGGCAAGCTGAACATCTACCTGCCGGGAAGTAGAAGAGACTACTGCTTGGTTTTCTGGAGATCTTTATTAAATTTGGAATAATACAATAAAAAGGATTTGAAATATGTGTGTATTTACCACATATTCTACAGCTTACAAATCTGTATTTTAGAACTCACTTCATAGTCATCTATTCTTCATAAGGACTTGAATTAAAACAAAATTAAGAAGTAACATTTTATTCTAATCAAGGCAATAAATGGCAATTCACTTTTTCACACAACCATGTGCAACAGCAACCTCTGCCAGCCAATCCTTTTCCATCCTCCCAACAGAGCCCCAAAACTGTGAAGTAATTCAAAAATATTTCTGTGTAATTCAGCMAACTGTAACAAGTTGGGGAAATTCAGCATCTGAATTGATTTACAGAGAGATTTCATAACTATTTTTCTTTCCCCAAACAAAATAGCTGGAAGCAATACCAAAATATCCAAAACACAGAAATATATAATAAATGTGATCAAGTATTTTAAAAACTCATGAAAGTGGCACAGGGCCTTCGCTCTGGGGCTGTTAACTATGGTCTGGTGTTATAAAATAAGACATAAACCACTATATCTACTGGAGCAATGTTTTTCCTCTATCCTAGACCTGTACCACCATTTAAAATCATTTCTTATGCTTCCTGAATATCGTGGTAGTCAACTACCACATTAATCCTAATTTCCTCGTAGAGAAGAAAGCCAAAATATTTGATTTTCTTAGCCTGCTGTAGAGTTGTGGACTAGAGGTATTTCTATGTAACATGGCTAACAAAACATTCTGACGAAGCATGAGTTTTACTTTTCACATATTGTCATAAGGCCTAATGACAGTTTGTGCCAAATTCAGGCTACACAAATCATCAAGAGTTGAATTTAACAGACACTGAAAATACTGATCCATAGGATAGCATTAAAATTGTATACATTAGCATTATTACCCCTTAACAATTTTCAATTAAATTAGGAAATAAAACTTCACATAAATGCAGGAGTTGATTGAATGCATTTCTGAGTAATTTTGAAACATTTAGCTTATTATATTCAGTGAATATATACATCCTATCTCCAATGCTCTGAAGTTGGGTAGAGATGGGAAAATTATGACATAGGATGACCTTGCACTTATGCTTTCCACTACATTACGAGGACAATGTAAAAACAGTTTTCTAGTGCAAAATTATTTATTTTGCTGAGTGGAAAACTTTCCCCCAAGTCATACTTTTCCTAATCAAGAAAAGATGTTAATCAGCTTACCCATGATTCAAATTATACCAACTGTTGAAAGAAGAAAATAGGACATTTTACCCAAAAAGATCTTTTAAGTCATTGCTAGCTGAGCTGCTGTTTGCCATCGTGTTTGCTGGTTGTGTAAAGTTCTGAGGAGAAAAGAAAGGATTACCCTGTATACCAAAGCCAGGCTGTCCCATCATGTTCATCTGAGGTCCCAAGACTGAACCACTTGCACTTGGGGACCCTTGGGAGGGTACAAACTGATTGACCCACTGGTTTGACTTCTGTTGAGCCAACTCTTTCATACTGACTTTGGGCTTCTGAGGACCAAAAAGATTATCTAAAGCAGACATATCTGGGGGTCTGTTTTGTTGTGCCAGTGGAGACATTGCAGAAGGAGCACTCATGGGACTGTAGTTTGGCATATTGGCAGTTGGTGCAATGTTCATCTTGCTTGTTCCTGTTGTGCTTGGACCACTGAAGAAATTCTGAGTGGTGGGACCRGTTGCCATGCCGAATCCGGCAGTCTGAAAACCCATACTAGTATTTAGTCCATTTGTTATATTTCTTTTTGTGCTGTCAATGGTTGATGAAAATCCCATTCCAACACCCATAGAAGGGACAGAAGAGAAGCTGTTTGAAGATGCAACTTTAGTTTTGTTCATAGATGTCAAAGATGACATATTATCTATCAGGGTATCTGTCAAGTCCTTTGTCTGAAAAATACAATACAGTTATAAACTTTTTCTTTACAGACATACTAGCAACAATCTTTAGCAACTGCTCCTGCAGTTAATATCAAAGTGTCATTATTTTTAAGAAACTGGTATTTATTGCTTTGAATTACATATTTAATGCAATTGTGCACAAAAGTAATTATATTATTTCCRTTCTTCACTACTTAGAAGTTTAATCGTTTTGCAATGTAGTTTCACTATCAAGACTATACACACCAAGTAAAAATGTGCCCATCTGCTTACATGCCTCATCCCTATCCCTCAAAATGATTGTATATTTAATTAGTAAAATTTTCAGAACAGGGTATTTTTATATGTGCTTTTTCCGTATCTAGAATGACAGTAGTGAAGTCATCTTTGAAAATTACTACCAATAAAACATTGGAAAAATAGGTAATAATGCAAATAGAAGGCAGATAGTTTTACTGAACTCTATCATATTACTACCAGTGATAATAAAGCTGAACCCCAGGGGAAAAAAGTGATAATTGTGTACAGTACTTCCAAGGAAAAAGCATCACAGCTGCAATGGAAACCATTAAATAGCTCATTATCTCTCACCTGCTTCAATGGAGGTGTTATCACAGTCGTCTGTGGCTTTAGAGGCTGCTGGCTTTTTAATTTCTGTGCCTGTTCTTGTTCTTTAGCTAATTTTTGCTTTTCTTCAAGTGTAAGTGATGCCTTTGAAAAAGGAAAGTATTATCAATAAGCTGGACAGCATTGGTATTTATTTTATATGAATAATAAATATTATTACCACATATTGTTGAAATGACAGTGCTATTTATGAAATAACAATGACAACATAACTTCAAGTGGCTAAACACAAAGTCTATTATTACATCTATTCTACTGTTGAAAAGCATTTTGGGCAAAATAAATACAAAATTAAAGGCAGTTTTATGACAAATTCTAGGCAAGTATCAAAAACAGCTATTTCATCACAATAAAACCATTTTGACTTTGACTTCTTAACGCTGAACATAAAAAAGTGTTCTGTTTGTTTTTATATTTTGATATGAATACTTTACCAACTGTCATTTGATAAATAACTACAAGTGCAGTTGGAAAGGAAATCATAATTTAATAACCGTGAGAAAGATGTTGTAATAGAATATCACCTATAAAGGGTAAACTATTTGAAGTCACGCCTCTTCTTTGCTTGTTCTATTTATCCCCATATTTATTGTTTGATTACACTTAACTTTTAATTTYGATAGTAAATCTTAGTCTTACAGCATGAGATTGTACAGTTAATCTTCATTTCCTTCTGTAATTTTATAATTAAGTTGCTTGAGTATTTTGATTTTTATAGTTAAATCCACTACTGAAGTTCAGTACAGCTAATTATACCCAGAACTAAGGAGGAAAAAATGATAAATAATATATAATTCCAATTGATGCATATTTTGCACAAAGCGAATTTCAAAGACATGTTTACATAGAAAATGAAGGCTGTGGTTTAAACATTTTTTCAGTGCATTTTCACATGTGACTACTCAGAGTTGTGCTAGGCAAAAGCAGTTATTTTTTCCTTTAAAGCCTCAAGTATGACAAATATTTACACATACTCTTCTTACGCCCATTAGCCTTGTATTAGACAGATGCATATAACAGAACTCCAAAACACAAATCCCACACCTTCTTCTGCTTTGATGACAACTCGTTCTCTTCTCTGTCAGATCCACTAGTTAGAAGGTCAGTTCCAGTATTACCAAATACCTTGTCAATCTGTTTAAATTAAAAGAAACAAAATCGTAAGTTTTTTTGAAATGTGGGAATTTAAGATGATGTAAATATTGATTAGGTGACTTTAAAACTTCTATATGTAACTAGCATAATAAAATATTGTCTCTTACCTGATTATTTGTACTGACAGATCTTGCCTCTTCAGACACACTCATCTGATTAGCTATATCCAAAGATCTATGCAGTACAGAGTATATAGATTAGAAAATGACAACTATACAGTCACCATATTAATCCAACAAGACATTTATTTCTTTGCATTTAAACAATATAAAAATGTTGTATCAAAGCATTGTCATATTCAGAATAGCTGTAGGAGACTGGAAAACATTAATATTCTAATGTATAAAGGTTATCTACCTTTTGAAATAGTTTTACTTTCTCCTTTAAGTGGCTAATGCAGACTTCAGAGAGCAMGTTAATTTGCCTCAAAGTTAATTTGCCTTCCTCAGCTCATATTAGCCTCCATAAAACAGGCACAGATATCTTCAGATATCTTTGCCTTCTGAAGATCTGCCATTTTTATGTCTTCTCTTCTTTGGTGGGTAATTCTTAGTAACTACACAAGAAGTCTAAAATCAGACTATTGGAGCTCAGTATGAAATTTTGTGTTTCATAAATTCACTTAAAAATTATCCAGAATAAGTAAACTTCTCAATGTAAGTGTAAAGGATCATGTGTAACAAAATCACTGATCTCATAATACTGTCATTCTAAGGAGTCATAAATCTTTGCTGACAACCATGCTTATCTGAGCTAACTGCCAATTACTGAAGTAAGAAACACCAAGATTTCGTGTGTCTGCAAATAGATTTTTCTCACATTTGCTAAAAAGATTAACTGAAATTCATCTCACCTCACTTATTATCCTAGCACAAAAGCAAACAAACACTTACTTCTGTTGTTCTTGCATGATATGAAGCTGTTCAAGTTTTGTTTTATGCTCTGACTCCAATCTATTAAGCATATCTTTTATAACACAAATAAAAGAATTGAACTGTAAAAGAAACATAGAAGAAATTTTGTAGTGACAGAATAGTAGTGGATTGTAGTAGATTTGTAGTGGATTTTGTAGTGACAGAATCAAAGCATTTAAGAGCTTAAAAACTAATATCACATACAATTTATAATATACAATGTCTGCATTAAACTGTACATTTAAATAATTTTATAGTCCAGTTTCACTGCCTTGGATGACATACCCAGCTACAAGCAGAATGTATAGGCAACTTGGAGGAAAAAAAAAAATCACAATTAACATTCTGAGATTTAATCTCCAGAAAAATCATATTAGGTAATCTATTTCCTAATTAATTCAGACCAGTATGATTGCACTTTTTACACTACATGTAATATTCTCAAACACAAGAGAAGAAAAGACAGACTGTAATATAGCTTCTTATTTGGACTATAATTCTTCTTTAGTATGGTATTTGAAAGGTAGTATACTCTTATTCCAGAAATTCTTTGTCTCCGATTTGATCTCATTCGACTTTGTCCCAAGTCCCATGTTTCGTAGTATATTTCAAAAGCTGCACCATCCATCTATCCATTTTAAATATCCTGCTAACTTTATCACAATCACTTTATTTTTCTTATGTTCCTTCAAATTCTACAGAAATATCACCAGGTTTAACAGTTTAACCCAGTAGTAACCACCATTCTGTAGTTTATAATATGCACATAGAAAGGAATAGATCGTGTCACTTAAAAGTTGTTTTAATTTCCTCTATTTTTGCCCCACAATTTGATGTGTTTAATTACTTCTTGGATGCCAAGCTGCTGCTTTAGTGTTGACAGACCAGTCAGATTTACCCCAAAATGTCAGAACCAACTCAGGAATTATGACCTAAGGACTTAAATAGCTACCAACCATAACCAAAGTCTGTTAGGTGATACAATTTTTCATTTAAAAAGCACATTTCAGTTTAAAGGCTTAACTTTTTTTTTAGCCTTTAATAGTGAAAATGTTAACAATACAACTTGAAAATTTTCAAAGATTTTAAAAATGGAAAAAAAAAAAGTACAAAAGCCATGATGCTACTTTAGAACTATGATGGTATACGACTATGATTTAAACACACTAAATAAACAAACTTTAAGCATAAAAATAGAGTAATAAAGCATGAAAATAGAGTAATACTGGCAGCATTTTTCACAGCAGACACAGATATACAGAAACCTACGATTTCTGTGACAACAGTTTAAGCCAATTCTCTACCAGTTAATCAATTAAAATCATGCAAAATAGTCATGTTCCTACCTGAYTGAGATTAAGATTGTTCTCAATACTGAGAGGAATCAGATGAGGCAATACTCTTCCTGCAAGCTGCTCTTTTGTAATYCCAAGCTTCTTATGAGTAAATGTACATTTGTAAATACCTGACATATATTAAAATAACAAAATTGGTAAATTTGATTTAGTTAAATTATTTTTAATTTTAGCACACTCCAAGCAAGTTTCACTCTCGATAGGTACTGACAATCTGATCATGCATTCATTCTGTGGTGCAGCCAACCACCAACAGGATGGAAAAGTAATAAAAATGAGAACTTGTCCACAACACAAACGTAAAACGAGTTTTTGATAACAACCAGAGCAAAGAAAAGTCCTGGAGGTCCAAAGCAACACTTCGCTGTTAATGAAGCCTTGAAGGCAAGGGGTTGTTCTTGTCTATTATACAAGAATATGGGTCTTTGAGACCCATCACAAGCAGCTGAGTGACCACAAGTTAACAAACTAACGCTTGTCAGTCCTGCTCCCTTTGCTGAGGCGCTCGCCCTCGGCTCGCTCCACGTGGCTTGTGGTGAGCACACACTTGGAGAGCCCCCACACTGCCCTCTCTCTGCATTCGCCAAAGGCTCCAGCCTGGAAGTTTCGGGCCTAAGGGCTGTGCCACACACAGAGCAACAGAATCGTAACAGATAATCATCCACAGCATCTGACATGCAAGAGTCAGTAAGTGAAAGCAACYGTAACATCTTAAAAGCTCTGGCAAAGGCTTCAGTAACTGAAAGGGGAGAGATTTTGAACTGCTCTGAGGGAAGTCGCCTCTCTGGCTGGGTTGGCCATGGAGACCACAAAAGTGTCACAGCCTTGGAACTGCAAAGAGTGCTCAGAGCTGTGCTGGGCCCTCGGGACTACGTATGTGTGGACTAGGGACAGAAGTWCCAGTGATACATTCAGCAACTGAACAGGGACCTTCCTGAGAAGGAGAAACAAGTCATTTAGCTCAACTGTGCAAACATTATCAATGATTATACAGACAGCTCTGAGATTACAATCGCAAAAGACAAAAAGGAGAACACTGAAAATATTACTTACCTAAAATTCCCATTAGCACTGCAGGTTCCTTGGATGGAATTTGTTGTAGAAAAGGCAGAATATCATCAAGCACAAACCACTTATCTAAGTACTCCAAAATCTTTCCTAGGCACACGAGTGAGTTTACCCGGACCTATGAAGTATTAAAGAACATCTAAACTATTCATCTGCCTAAATAAAAAAGACATATAATACTTAAAACAAGAAGAAGGAAGGTGCTTACAGAACTATAACCTTCATAGCTGAAAATTCAAGGTCAGTTTAAAAAGCAAAAAAAAAAAAGTAAAATGAAAGGAAAATAGTGAGTTGCATACTGCTCACAAGACCTTGGCTTCTCCACAGGACAAACACTGTTAGCATACTACGTGCTGGAACATGTATTTTTAGAGTATGAAAAATCTTGAAAAGAAATTGGGGCATATTGATTTTTTTTTCTCAATAGAGAAGCAAGAACAGAAAAAAAAMTAAGCGCAGGCAATTTTCAATTTTCTGAAGACTGAGAAAGAAATAAAATTACTAGGGTACTTACAGCAAGAGATGAAGTTTGCAAACATGCATTCTTAATTCTTGGAATCAATGAATTTTTCATTGATGGGTAATCTATTAGATTGGCAAATGTGGGAATTATGTTTAGGCAAAGCTCCTATAAAAAAAATCCATATACATTTAAAAAAATRCATATTTACCATAGAATTAATACTAGTATCATTCAAGTTTAAAAACAATTAGTCTTTCAAAGTATTCTTTTTAAGGAAATACTCATATTCACTAAAATGAGCTATCAGACTCAGTTAGAAATAGCTACAATAATAAAACATCATGATATGCCGATGGAATCTTAGAAAATGGGTCAAACAAATATAAATAAATATTATCAGTAACATTCTGCAGGAGAACAATCACACACTGAAAGATAAAACAGTGTATTTATATTAAGTATAGTTAAGCAGTCGAAGGAAAAAAATACCCAGTTGCAGCCAAATCTCAAAAAACAGAGGCAGCAATATTAAAAACAAATTGCAAGGAAACACTCAAGTAACTAAAGTCCTCCTGTAGAAAAATCCCAGTTACTTAAAAASTTTATGCATAATATCGGAAAGACTGCAAGGCTGAAAGTGACATCTGATTATCCAAATCTTTATCTATTTGTTTACCTCCTCTACACACTCCTGCTTATGACTAACAGAAAACTAATTCCATTTGAAGAATGACTTCAAAGGAAAACTTTTCTTTTTTTCTTTAAAGAGAAAAGATTAACTAGCCAGTTTTAAATAGAAGCTAAAAGTATGGCACCTGAATTTGAATTGAAGGTGCTTCCAAGGCTCTATAAACCATTGGTAGAACGCTGTTCTTTATTTCATCTGGTGGAGTTTTGGTTAGAAGCAAATCCATTTTTTGCAGGAAGATCAACAGGATCTATTAAAAAGAAGACAGTTCAGATGCCAAAAGATTTTAACTTCACAAACAAACATGTAAAGTTTATTGCATCATATCATTAAAACTTCAGAAGGTTTTTTGTAATTCAGTAAATGTAATCACTTACCATGTTGCTTGCCTGAAGGCATGGAAGACAAAAAACACTTTGACATATTATTGCATTTTAGAAACAGCAAATATAGATCAAAYAAAGTATTTATGTTTTAGAATAATCTTTCTGAAATAAGAAATTGTAATGGGTTGGGGAAAGTTGGGGAGAGGGTCTTATTCCAATTTACAACACTGTCYTCTGTTAAAATCCATCCACAGAAAATCTTGATATACACATCATTATTGAAAAGGCTAAATTCCTCAAAAACAATTGGATCAAGTGCTGTTTTCAAGGCAGATGATCACAAATTCACCTACAAAATCTGGATTCTWTCTGTATTTGGAATCAAAATTTAGACTCAATGCAAAGAACAGTGTTATTCTATGTACGCGAAATAGCTTTATTTCACACAGAAGTAGTATATAACAAAACAAAAAATCACAAGTAAAAAAAAAAAATTCACATAAGGTTAAGTTCACATCAGGTTAAGAGGGATTTATCTGGCTTATGTTTATCTGCCTGAAATTAAGCTGCCACTTTAAATGAAATATCCAGGTTCAGTCTTCAATGCGTAGAGCTGCATTGCCAAAGTTAATCTACCCATCTGAAAGGCGTGAGACAACTTCCACAGATGTCACTGACACATCTCCATTCATATTTAGACTCYTTTTATAGAATCATAGTATAATCACATTCATAACAAAAAAGCCTTTCTCTCTCTTAGGAGAGAAAGATTTTAAGTATAAAAATATGTAACAAACAGAGTTTATATGTTAAATAAGCTGCAACAGAATCTAGAAGAACAAAAATGTTATTCCCCTTTCCTTAACAGGGAAGGGAATGAATTTCTTTTGAGGGCTGGTTAATGCAGGGTATGTTGCTGTATTTTTGTAGTTATGTAACCATCTACACACGTGAGCATGTGTGTGTGCGTGCCCATACTCAGCCCCTAATTCATTCACTCATTCCGTGGACGTTGACTCTAATGCAATATCCTGAAATCTGGCAAAATTAGGGCAAGATGGATCAGGCCAGTTTTAAATTTAGATTTTGTGTTTATTCTTGAGCAAAGAATTTTTATTTGTACTAAATGTGTTCAAAACCTAAAATAACTACTATAACCCTATCATACTGTGACATGACAGTTTCTACGTTTGGTTAGCCAGACAGTTTTGAGAGAGAAGGCTTGATTTGTCTTTGCAAATTTGAAAAAACAAGAGATGAATAAAGTCTGTTATTCAACAACKAAAAGCTTTGCTAAAAATAAGCAGCAGCTGTTTGGACAGACCTAAGCTAAACAGTACTGTATAATCATCTAGATTTCACAGAACAAGGCAGATGTTATCCACTACTCTAGCTGTCAATTCTTTTCAAATATGATAACATAGATCTGAATTGTTTTTATTATCTCTCACCATCTGTATCTTTAGCAAGAATGTAATTTATGCTGTTCTGGTGAACTTTTTTTTCCCCTCTCCCTATTCTAGGAAATTTTTATCCATGTAAGTTAAAATTAAGATGTCACAGTAACAAAGACAACACTTATAAATACATAAGCAGTAGCAGCAGTGTGCTATAAACAATAATAATGATGTATTTCCTTTGTTAGCATAGAGCCCAATGCTTGTTAGGATACATTCTGCCATACTGAATTAGAATAGGAATTTACAGTACCTTGCAGGCTAACTCTTTATGACTATTCTAAGYATAAATTAAGATTGTCTACATGGGGAAGTTATTTCAGAGTAAGCTGTTAATTTACAGTATGAGTTACTTCATGCTCCAAACTCCAATTCCAAAAGCACAATGTGATGAGCAGTTAAAAATTCAATTCTCTTAATTACAAAGAGACATTATCAACACTGGATAACTTTTTTTTTTTGTAATGAATTACAGCTGCATTGTATATGAATTATAGCTGTAATAAATTTAGCTATTGTGATTTGTTTGTCTCCTAACTCAACTATATTTGTTGAGTTTGTTTCCTAACTCAACTTCCAGGATGTTTTGGTGGACATACAGATTACAAACGTCAAGCAAAAGGTCTGGCATGATGCTAAAATATCATGGGAGTGGGTTTGGAAAAAAAGTCAATGCCCTGCCTGCTGCCACCCCATGAGTGACACAGCCTATACCTTGCACAAAGGCAGACTSTGCACCTGATGGCAGCAGTCAGACCAGGAATTCTATTATCTGGCACTCTTTTTTAATTATTATTTTTTTCCTCCCTCCCTGAATTAATCTGGCTTATTCACTCTGGAAACCTGCCCTGGACTACTCAGACAGACTTTGCCATACTGAAAAGGTCMTAAAAATAAAGTTGAATAAGCTGGCTATTGCTTAAAGTGCATCAAAAATATCAACAYGAGAATCTAATATATAGTATCTGGAAATCTGCCAAACTACATCATACCTTATTGCACAGAAGCTTCACAAAGCTCTTTTTTTATAAGCTAACCCCAAATCTATRCTTTACTTCTCTCATTTCTTAAGAAATAAAAGAGCTGTTGGGCCTCCCATGCTCTAGATATAGCCTTGAGACAAAGGAATCTCAAGGCTTTTGGAATGAAGACCGTCTTATAGATCTATTGTTAAAATAGCAGAACAGTGTCAGGTTTATCAGCTTTTAGTCAGCGAGCATCTTTTCACATTTTCTACAGTAACATAAAACTCTGATATACCAAAAATAATGCTAATTCTAATAACCTAATAGATCTGCAAAGAGAGCTGTTCCCTCTTCCTCCCATATACTGAGAGTTCTCTGTTGTGGATTSCCAGACACTGTGCTTGCTCACTGCAGTGTCTATCTCGCCCCTTAAGTGCTCTGCAGAAAAATAACAGCAGTCYGCAGTAAAAAAAGGTGAGCCCGAAGGAAGGCATAGCTGCCTTGTTGTCTGATGAGGCACGGTGCCTATGCCAGCGACAAAATCTTCAAGTGTCATCACACATATGGTGTTGACAAAAGGATGAAAATGCTTTTCTCCTTCACAGTAAAAATAGTGCCTTGCTGCTTTTATAAATGCAGACAACAGAAGAAAAGGTATCCTATTGACATTACGGCAGTACACTTGTCAAAACAAAATGAAAAATTGCCACAAATTTGCACAGCTCTCAAATAAACACTATTTTATTATTATGAATAAACAAGAGAGTGTTAGAGTGACAACTTTTCCACCACAAGATCCCACTGTTAACAATCTGGAATTAAAAAAATAAATAAATAAATAAATAAAAAAAATCACAGCTTTAGTGATACAATACATGCTAAAATTTGTTTTGTACAGTCCAGCTATTATAATCTAGGTAAGTGATAAAAGTTCACAACTGTACCTTCTACAACTGACCAAAGATAGAGTTGAGTGATAAATTATGTGTTTCCCTTTGTTAATCTATTCTCATTAATAAACACAATTAAGGCTCCAGGAGTAAAAATATAAAATAAAAAATCGATTTGATGGTGGATAATGTGAAAAGTTGATACAGAGAACTAAACAAACCAATGTTTTTTCAGAGAAAAAGCACTGAGAATAAAAATTGTCATCTGAACATGAACATACCTGTATTGGTTCTTGCTGCTTAAAAACAGGACCAAGATCAGGCAGAATAAGCCTGATATATTCCTCTTTGGTGCACTCTTCAGCAATAAGGAGAACGTTAGGCAAGACAAAGGGTACCATATCAGGATTCACAAACTCAGAGGTCAAGCAAGGCAAAATACGCTGAATTATAACACGCTAAGAGACAAAAACAAGGATGCATCATATTGCACTGTGCTGCAATAAGTTATTATCATCGCAGCTCAACAGCTTTAGTGATAACCTCATACTGAAACACAAAAGCAAACAATTCACAATATTGAATTCTTATTTTCACAGTATACTCAAGTCAATATACACTATGCTGCTTTGCTTACTTTATTTGCATTCAAGACGCAATTAATCTACAACAATCATGCAGGCCAATAAGAGCTATTAACAGTGCAGAAATTTTTAAATTTTAAGATTTTTTTAATTTAAGAATTTTAATTAAGAACTAAGAAATTAAGAAATTTTTAAGATTTTTTTTAAAAAATAAGAATATTGATTTTAATTTAAGAATTTTAAGTCATATACATGAATTACAAAAATCTCATTGTATACATGTACGTTAAAAACAACCTAAAAACATTCATCAGCAGCAGATCAAGTTCTGAGATACCTACCACTCACTAAATGTACACTTAATCCTATTATACCTCACTGTAAACTCCTTATAAATTCCCCAGATGGGATGCAGCTGACTAAATACATATATATATGTACACATATCTGCATATGTGTATATATATATATATAAATATGTATAAATGTATATATATATATACACATACATATATATACACACACACACACACGCTGTGGATGTCTACATTTGAGTTAGGCATCCTGAAATGCTTGTAAAGACAATGAAGAGAAATACACACTTCAAAGGCACAATCCATTACCTCATTAGAAATGATTTTAAAACAAAACAAAAACAAAAAACCAATGCCCTAAAGATGATTAGGTCAGTTTATGACTGTCTAAGATGAAATAAATCTCAACTACTCCCAATGCCAAAGCATCAATAGCTTCTGATCAAGAGAATAAAAAACCTACTAAATTAAAAAGGAGACAATAATGAAGATGCACTTCATTACTGTGCAGTTCAAAATGAAATTTATATAAAAACTAAAATTAATGTAATGGTTTAGAAACTCAGCTATTCTATCTTAAAGTAAACTAGCACTATTTTTCCATCGCATGTGCCTTATGCCTTATATGAATTAGAGAACACAACAAAAGGAAAAGCTATTTGGTATGCACTGTGGCTAGCACTGCACAAAAGAAATCCTGAAAATAGACATTTCCCTTTGAGATGTTTGGGCATTGCTATCAGAAAAAAAGTGCTTTATCCATTGAGGGTAGGAAACTTTGCATCATGCACCAAGGGTTTAGGCCATCTTACTTATAGATTTGGGAAAAGGTTGGACAGGACAACTTCAAAAAGCTCTGATAAGATCTAGAAATAAAGGGAGAAAATGTGTAGGTGGGGGGAAGATATTTCCCATTCAAAGTGAGATGAACTGTAAGAGAACATGGCAAACGATGGTTCCTCTCACATACTGATAGCATAGGATGCACTTTCTGTTTCCAGAATTACTGAGAGCTGAGGGGTATTCCCACGTAAATTATTTTCATGTCTCCTCTTCCTATTACTCTACTCTGACAATCTCAGTCAGAGAGTATGGCAGGCTTTAACGGAACCACATTACACACAATTCTGCAGTCCCAGATTAAGAATATTACAAGATGTTTCTGTATTTGTAACTCATTGTTTCCATACAGCAGTAGGGACATACCTTAGGTAGTTTTGGCAGAACTTTTGGTAACCCTTTGAAAAACTGTGACTTCTGAAGGTTATCCCTTTGAAATAAAGAGTCAAAATACTGAAGCGTCATTGCTCCCACATCATCGAAGAACGGTATCTAAAAACAAGATTAAAAGCTTATGGTTTGGAGGAAGACAACATAATATTGATAAAAAAAGACTCCAGATCTATAATAATATCTATGTACCTCTTCAATACACTATAGGAAACCTATACAGTAAAGAGGTTGCAATTAAGAACCATAAAAGTAAAGTTTTACCTACTAAATAGCATAATACACACAGATAAAGACAGCTAATTTTCTTGGCACTTTAAAGAAGTAAACAATAATACATATTATGTTTTTATATTATTATGTTTTCTAACTTATTTTATACAACATCATATTTTTATCCATAAGAAAAATTAGAAGTAGAAATCTTGATCAAAGGTTCTCCTAAGGATAATTACAGTATTGAGAGAGGGAGGGAAAAAAAAAAAAAAAAAAAGACTGTGTGCTAGGACATCAGTATCCGGTTACTATCCCTGGAAAATTATAATGAATCAACAACCATTTATATGGAAAAAAAAATAAAAAAAAGAACATTTGTCATTATACAATTTTCTCTCCAATGTTCAGGTTTGCAGGCTCACTTTTATGTATTATATTCCACATCTTGCTCTGTGTTTGCATTACTTTATCTGCACTTCAGCTGGCAGTAAAGATGCTTCTTCTCATCTGAATCTTCTCATCTGAGCTTCAGCACATCTGAATGAGGAAGCCAGTGCTTCTTCAGTATTGTGTAACAATGAATATACATAGGCTGGATTTGTAAACATGCCACAATAAAACAGCAGAGGTTCATCTACAGCATTGGAGTATCATAGCAATAGTGCTGGAACTGCTTCAACATTGATGTAAGATTGCTAAATATGTATGTTGATGCCAAGACTATTTAAAATTCCCCAAATATTCAGCTTTCAGTTAGTAGCTGAAAGCAAAGAACAGAAGGGAGCCTATTGCAGGCCTATGCAGACTGGAATGACAAGTTTGAGAAGCCCTACCGGGTAAGAGCTCTCCTTCATTCTCACTCTGCGTTTCAGGCAGGAATATATCACACCTCATGGGACTATCATGGTTAGAGACAGAGCATGGTCACAGATCACACTTGCTTTCAGTTGAAAAACTTGTGCAAAGAGTGAGGATACGACAACAGCTCTGCTGTGAGGCAGAGAGGTGAGCTGGGGCAGGACAAGACAGCAAATAAGCTATCAACAGAGAATTTAAGCTACTCAATTCTCTTCTAGGCAAACTTAATTCTATTCTAGTATTGTAGTATTCCAGTTTTCTAGTATTCTAGTTTATATACCACAAGGAGTCTAACCATGACAGCATGGAATCGTACATGGGCCAATCCATTCTAGTTAAACTAGCAAGGTAAATTTGGCCACGTTAAGCTCTGTATTAGTTTATGACATGCTGGCCTTGACAGACTGCTCTTAGTMCCCAAGCTAGTTCAAATAGCTCTGCTCTACAATTCGGTCTAAAGAGATTAACATGACCTTTATGTAATAAGAGTGCTTAAGAGACTACTCTTTTGACATTTCGTTGTTACAATCCCTCAGAAAAGTGAGCTGATATCCGAGTAACATTTGCCACTTTTCCTACTTGCCCTCTTCCTGAATATATGTTCACAGAATCATTATCTGTACTCCCCCTCCTTTCTTCAYTCTCTATTTCTTCCAACTGTTAAGAGATTGATTTTTCTCTTGATACATAATCTTTTCATATGACAGGAAAATAAGAAAATAAGTTATTCTTCCACACATTTAAGAATATACCATAAACTRTAAGTTAAAAGTTAATCTTTATATTTGTTGACCTTTGTTATTTTATGGCTTTGATGTCCTTCCAGCAGACTCAATTGTTTAAATTGCTAAAGACTCGATCATTTAAAGATGTTCTCTAGTCGGAAAATACTCCGACTATATKGGAAAGCAAAAAAATTCTCTAGAATTTAGAATTCCAGTATATCCTTCTTTCATATTAATAGAATGAAGGTCAACACAAAGACGTCTCTGGACATCAGCTAACATCATTATTTCTGAAGAAGTTAAAACCATATTTACATTTCGACTAAAAAGATTAAAAGGGAAAAGAAATAGCTCTATTATTTCCACAAATCAAACAACACTTCCCTCTTTTCTGTATGTGCTGTATTTTCTGTGAACTCACCTTAGTCATTTGATCAGCGTCTGGCCTTACTGCTGGAGCAACGTTTAAGAGCAGCTTCACGTGTTCTCGCACCTCTTCTGGTATATTCTGAAGAGTACCGGAGCTTAAACGGCTCAGCTGCGTAAGTAATTTAAGAACATGCAACATGAATCCAAAAAATCCTGCATGTAACTTTTCCCCAGTATACACTGGTGCTGTACTTGATGGTGTCCCTACTCAAACCATTAATATCCTTCCCTTCTCCTCATTTATAATCTGCTGGATTCTGGTCCCTCATAGTCTTCCCTCTGTYCCCAAGCAGAAAAACTGCTTCTGGTCACATTCCTCTACTCCCAATTTCTGTTTGCAAATTCTTGGAGAACACAGCAAACTATTTTTCAAAAGAGCTACAAGTCATAACCGAGATGTCAGTAACACATATGAAAACRTAGGACTCATGATTAAGGCAATGGACACTCTAAGAAGTTAAAATGAAGGAAACTTGCACACAAATGTACACTACGTCCACTGTTCCTAGTAACTCCCTTCTRTTAATATTCATAGTCCATAAAGAACATGAAACAACTTACAGTGCTGAGTAAAGGAAAAGGATGCACAGTGTCAACTGAATGAATCACTTGAACTAAAGAAATCTCTTCTAATCTTACATTGATCATTCATTGATCCCTACCTTGTGTCTAATGCTGTTTGTCCTGCTCACATGTGTCCATCGTTACCAAGGTGTACAAGGAAACTAGGTGAGAAATCACCTTCACAGTTGATAAATTTGATATACCTAACTTCCTCTCTATATACTATATACAGTCCATATATTCTTATTTCCCTTATTTTACTAGCATTTGTCATTATAAAGATGGCATGCATGGTAAGCTATCATTATAGAATTGCTTACATTGGTGCACTGACACCATGATCTACAAATTTAAATCTATTTTAAACCAGCTACTTTTTAAATCTGAAAAATCATGTAGAACATTTACAAATACAGCATATACCTGATCCAGTTGTCTGCTAAAACTTTTATAAATATCCTGCTTGTTGACCTCAAAAATGGGCTTCCCTTTATTAAATACTGCATACATAACAGCTCCTAGAGAATACATGTCGCTGGCTGTCTCGCAGCTCACAGAGAGAATATATTCAGGTGCCAGATACTCAGGATTTGGAAGACACAAGGATGGCAAATTTGGATCCCATTCTTTACAGGGGAATTTTGGCTACAAAGAGAAAAGAAAGCATACTGATGAGGGAATCTTAAAGAACACTTCAAGTAAGAGACTCAGGCAGCAAAAAGATAATAAATCCACTCAAATTCAATTACGACTAAGATGAAAACGGAATAAGGCAAAAGAATCTCTATCTGTAACATAGATTAATTAGCTCATTCTGTTAAACTTGGTCATTAAAATTCAGAACTGTACTGCAAATGTCAAAATACTCTGCCGTAAGAGGGAAATATGAGTTCTGACAGGCATTCATTTAGCAGTTAGCAGCCAGGCACTGAGGGGATGGAACCACCTGAACATGTCTGCCAACAGATAAAGTGGCCCAGGCTTCTGCATCTGCCTGACACTATCATTAGTTTATTTTAAGTCTACTGAGCCAACTCTGGCTTTTTTTTTTTTTTTTTTTTTTTTTTTTTTTTTTTTTTATAATGACCAAAAGTATCACATCACTCCAGGTATATGCTATCTGTTTATCCTTCTTGCCAAGGAACTACAGAAGTAAACATCAAATGAAGGATTCTTGAAACTGAAGTTTATGAAATCAGTTTCAGACACAGATCTGAGTTTGAAATTTCCAGAAGACAAATGCAAAGATCCATCACCTCCTGTTCAGATGGATTTGTTGACTGGATACAAAAATCAAAGCCCATAATTTTCCACGCTCCACTCTTGTTCAGAATTATATTCTCAGGTGTAATATTCCCATGGACCATTTTCACACTGCTATGCAGAAAGGACAGGCCTTCAGAAACCTGTTAATAAAATAAATATATATATATATATATATATATATATATATATAGTCTTTCAGGTTAACTCTTTCCTTAAACATACCACCAGACATTTTAAAAAAAAATCTGTTAATACTACAACCTTTTTTCCTTTTGTCAGGGTTAAATAGAAAAATTGGCAAGGAAGCAATTCTTCCTCATCAATTTTAGACTATGTCTTAATAATTGTGTATGAAGGGTAGGTAATCAGCAGGTAGGAGGGCAAAGCACAAAAGTGACTCACAAATGGAAGTGACAGTAGCTGTARCACAGGCCACACACTGTCTGTTTTTACCTGAAGAGTAAATCAAAAAGAAAGTAGGTCTGGTCTTTCCAAAAAATGAATAGTGACTGAGGAAAGGAGGAAATAGAGACCCCTGCATCACTGCATATTTGCAAGCAAGAAGGAAGGCAACAAGAAGCCTTCCAATTATGCAGAAGAGCAGTAGAAGCTAGAAGGTAAATGCAGGAAAATAGGGCCTACATTTGTGCACAGTATATATGAGGATGAAATGAGTAACAAAAACAAAAGATCATGCTGAAATTTGTCACTAATATCCAAGATTAAATAAAGTAAAAAAACAACACGCTCTAAACTGCAGGAGATATCTCCACTCTTCTTAGAAAGAAGAAATAAGGGATAGGTAATATGTAACAATTCTTTCCATGCAGAATTCATTTCTACTGAATAATAGAATTAATGAATTTTCTTATTTTCCGTGTCAAAATAAGCAAAACCAGCCACTAAAAACATCCAGTCTTCATCATTTGTAACAGTTAAATGATCAGAGCACTGTCAGCTCTCACCTCGCAATAATTTCATTTACCATAGACAGACAAGACAAACATTGTAAAACTATGATTAATACTAAAAGCAAATGAAACTTTATAAGGATAACTGTGMAATACCTGAAGCAAGCCATATTTGGTTTCCACATCATAAAGTTTGTATTCTTTAATGTCAGATGGTAAAGGAGATGGTAGGTTGTCCCAGCTGCCAAGARCATTAGCTAAACTTGCACAGACAGGTTCTGTACAAAACGCCAGGCAATCTCTACAGAGGAGACAAACAAAACACATTTGTTTTTTTACAAAACATTATTCTTGGGCTGGACAGCAATATCAAAACAATTCTAGTTATCATTATGACTTGTAGGATCAGGCTTTTAGCTGTGGTTAAAGCTGAATCAACATTTACTACTGTGSTTAGACTGTAACCAGAAGCAAAATTAATAAAATGAAAGTTGGTATATGAATATTCCTTTATTTTGCAAATGAAAGGACAAGAGACACATAAACAAATGTAGCTGTTGTATGAACTGTAATTTGTCTATGGAAACAGCATTTTTTTCCTCTTTCTAAAAAGAAAAAAAAATCACCGCTTTTGTTTATGGCTTTTTGTATCAACAATGTTTGAAAAGCGTAAGTAAAGCAAACCTCAAAACATACAAAGGACTGATTGTACAGGAATGAAAACGAAATAGGTAAAAAAAAAAAAAAAGAAAAAGCCTTCAAAATTTCATGTCCTGAAAACACTGCATGTCTCAGTGCTACAAATTTCAGGGGGCACAGACAGAGCCACATCCTCGTCCTTCAAACTGGTCTGCACAGCACGGAAGGCCCTAGACAGTCACCTCACATCACATCTTGGCCATTGCAAAGTTTTCTGTGAAGACAACACTGGCTGGTAGCACCCACAGTTTTAGGAATGTCTATCTCATGTGTGAACACTGAAACATTTCCCCAGAAGCAGCACAGAAAGCTGAGACCTAGTAATAGCAGAACAGATACCTGTCTCAATTATGAGGTTATAGGCAAGAAGACAGGAGCCTAACTTTTCACTTATTCCTTAGAAATACCACAGAAGACATCACATCTCAGCTTAGTGAGATAAATAAAAACTAACCAGCTTGGGTTTTGAAGGGGGAAAAAAAAAAAAATTTGATGGAGCGTGAAAACTTCTTATTACTCATCCAGATTAAGGGAGGCAACTTAATTTTATCATCATCAATTATCATTTTAACTTTCTGAAGAAAAACCAGCTGAATTGAAAATCCATTGATTCATCAATGTCTACTAACGCAGGGAAAWTCTACTGCTTGGCTTCCTCCCTTTTCATTTTGTTAACTCCACCATTTTCATATTTTTTATTAACAGACCTATGTCTATAAAATTCACCTCTATACTAATCATGAGGAAGAATCAGAGCACAGAATAACTTTTTTTTTTCATTTTATAAATCCCACTTTCACTTTACCACAGAACTTACAGATTTAGTTATATCTAGGTATAGGTAATAAAACCTCTCTAGGAAACAGTATCGTTGGTCTTCAAAATTCAAACTATGTGATTGTGGTTGTTTTGGGGTATGAAAAAGAGCTTGTTTTTTACTTTGGGAGCTTATTAAATCAAGAACCACGCCAGAGTTGCAGAAGGACAGGGCAAATCCAATTAAAGCAAAGTAATGCGGGAGCAACTGAGTCAGTCATACACTGCAGCATCTTAAACAGTTCCCTGAATAACATCAAAGTGACATTCAGAGTAACATAACAAAAAGAAAACAAGTTAAAAAGAAAGATGATTGCAGAAAAAAATGCAAATGCTTTGGAAAAACTGTAACAGATGGGCTGTCTAGTAAATTAAATATTTGGTATTCTTCACACTACTCATTTTTTAATAAGTAGCAATGGCATTATGAATAGTCATAACTTGGCTTTTTATTCTTTTCTTCAATAACAAGTTAATATAGAATAATATTACTCATTTGTGCTGTTGAAAGAATTGAAGATAAGTTGTATATACAGATATATTTATAGTAAATMTTTAGTATAAAGAGTTTATATATTTAATATATTTATTGCATGTAAAATGAATGCAAAATAATATGCATAAATATATAGAATGTTTATATAAATCATTCTTAACATATTTTGAGTAGAAATTTTCTGCTAATAGTGGAAAAGTTGTCTACACACTGGAGTCCTGTATGACATGGCCTGCAGCATCTCCTGCAGCTGTGCAGACACACCAAGTATTCCCTTGCTCCACAAAAAGGGAATAAAATGTTAAATTGTTTTGCCAGTTCACTGCAGAACGAAAACTTTGGATGATTCCAAATTAGAAGAGAAAGAAAAAAAATCGGGTGGAATACAGAAAAATGAAACCACAAAGTTCATCTATTGCACAGGTAAGTACTTTTCATTYTCTCTTGCACAACCAGCTGGATATTTGTTCTGTTTTTAGTGGCTTGCAAACAGTCTAACACCATCATGTGTTATTTTGGAGACACGCAAGGGAAAAAAAAAAGTCAGAGAAGAGTGGAAATTCTTCTCCARAAGAAGCATTCTGTAACATTCCGCAGAAATGTTAAGGAAATGTAGCATGTAGCAAATGTTGCAAACCCTCTTGTACCTTGATGAACAGTCTGACCAAACCCTTCTATTATGCACTCCCCAAATATCACTCTAGCAATTTCTGGCATATAAGCCCCTAGAGAGGCTTGGGGCTATTTAGCCTGTAACAGTTAGTGTTGTAGAGTACTAAAAGTTGTTTTCAATTATATAATTTATCTGCCTGAGGTTTTTGAGGGGCACACAGAACCAGAGGGCTAATGACAACTTTGAACCTTTACAGTTAAATTTGTTTAGAACTGGAAAAGAAATATATCCAATATATCCAAATAAGTAAATGTCATTTGAYGGAAAGTATCTTTCTCAAAGTAGGCACAGCAAAGACAGATTTAGTCCACAGATACTCCTGGCTCCTACAAACTGAGACAAAACTATCTCAGGTACATTTGGAAACACACATATTGACAGAACCTATCAAAAAGGCAGAATTTTGAACAACAGTGTATGCAAAGGTTAGCTTAGCTTTCAGAAATACAACTTAGCAGGCAGAACTTGAAAGCTTTCACAAGCTTCCTCAATCAAATCAAGAAATGCTTATTTCAACCTGAAATATTTGTCTCATTATAGTGTGTTGTGCTATCATTGCTAGAGTTCAATAATAAATCCRTAAGACTAATCCATTATTGTGCTAAATGACTGATCTTACATAAAATCAAATAAGTACTACAAAAATACACTACCTTTGGTCTCCCTTGTTTGGCATCTGAGGACCTTTACAACACATGATGTGGCCACAACAGATACGTTTTACCAACAGCTTCCAATCTCAGAAGCATAAAGTGCATATATCTCATAAATGTAATAAATCTAAGAAAAACCTTACGAAAGAAAATAATTTGTCCTGGAGAGTTCTTAAAAAGTGAAAACAATTAAATATCAAATGTTCATATTGTAAGAACATGCGCAGTCTTGTAGTTGCACCTGGCCTAAGACCATGCAATAAATTATGGATTACATCCACACCAAGAACACCTTGTAGCGCTTCTATTCTCATATGAGTAAATACAGAATAAATGAACCTCATTAGATACACGTGCTAAATGCTACAGATATTCAGATCCATTAACAAAACAATGATTAATAATGTTCTGTTCTCAATTTCACCACCACGTACCTGGATTCTTCTAGTGGATGTTGAACAGTAAGTAGCCGAGGGTGTCGAAGCCTGGTTAGCTGCTGAACACCTCGTTTTAAAGAGTCAATAATCTGATCCTTTTCATATTTTTGAAACTTGTCTATTAACTTTTTATCAAAGACAAAGACAGCCACTTCCTAGAAATAAGCAACRACATTTACTCAGTACCACAATGCCRAATAAAAACACCTATACACAGTCACATATGCACATAATTGCATTTTTTGAATCAAGAGCACAGTCCAACCAACGTAAGGAGTAATTCAGTGTACAGTTACCTACATGTTCTCACTGTGTTCCCAGTCATAACCTTTCCAGCTACAATTAACCTTTCAAATTACATATTTTTAAGAGCTAATGCACCACTGTCCTTACCTTACTAGCAGCAAGGCATGAATTTAACACTGTCTATGCAGCGACAAGGCAGATAATATCCACAAGATAAAAACTTGTTTGATTTTTAGGGAACACATTTATGTTAACTGCAAACAATTAAAATATTTTGAGGATATATGCAATCATTAGCATTACATATATAATACATATGTGGTGCTCTGTTAAGCTACACTCTTCGTCTCTGTTCCAAGCTTGTATGATCCATATTAAACTACATTTTCATGAGAGATAGTTTATAGTCAAAGAATAATATCTGACTAATCAATTAATATGATCAAACTGTTCCCATGATAAAAAAAAATGTTTTTTTTTTTTTAGACTCATGATTGAACATGTGTTAAAAGATGCCTTGCAGGAAATAATATTTCCAGTAAACCTCTGTAAACAGTGTGAGAAGAAATTGAGGAAGTTTTATGAAATCTAAACATTATAGATGTAGATATGAAATAAACAATGAGATTACAGCAGCACCTTGGAATCACTGAAGAGAGATAATCCAAGTTGTTTCAAGAGAGTACATAAAAAACAAACTAGTGAAGGAGCTTGAAGTTAACCACTTTCTATCTTTGAAAGGAAAAAGAAATTTAAAACTCTATCATAAAACAAAACCGAGACTTTCTTGTATGTCTACAACATTATGAATATTTTTAGCACATTTTCTAACTAATATTCCAACTGAAATCTCTCAAGAACGTTATTATTATTTATGTTATTGATTTCAAGAAAAGCTACATATAGGCTAAAGAAAAAAGAAACTCACTCTGATAGAGAGAAATTGGTTTATGTTTTTTAGCAGGTATCTGAAAACATATCTGAAATATCATCTGAAAAACTGGTTCATTAAAGTGCCAGCAAGTGAACACCTAAAAATAACTCAACTCACTACACTTCTGTTTGTATATAATTTGGCTCTCTGTCCCAGTTTGAAGGGTGACAGAGGAAACATTAACAATAACACAAATCAAACAGTCACAGTGGGTGGCAAACACATGTTTTACCAATTATTTAAAAAATACACACTTTCCAGTACAAAATGTGAATGTACTGAGTAGTAAGTGACCAACAACAAACCCTCAAAAAGTGTTTATGTTTAATGATAATTCAAAGGTATTGGAGTGTGAATAACTGAATCAGATATTTTGAGATAGCAGCCACATTTTCAGTATTTTATGATGGCTRTAAGTTCTTTGAGAGCTTGCTACAATTCTGCATGGTTTATTTGAAGTTTGMCAGAATTTCTATTTCTCCAGATTTATCTGTGTATGAAGTTTATACAAGTATTCAAGGTGTGAAGATGATTGCTGTCACGTTGATTTTACAAGGGCAAAAGCAATTTATAATTTAATTGTAAAWTATAAATTTCAAGAATCAAAATTAATTTGAACTGTGTGACTATTTGCTTTCAGTACCCTCATTTTCACATAATGCAAGAAAAAAGCATAGAAGAGCCCTCACAATCTCTGTTTGTCCATATTGTTAAATTTGTTCTGATATTAATAATTCRAAAAAGGTATTCTGAAATGGGCTATTAAGGTCCATAACCAACACTGATTTTTATATGCAGAATTTGACATCAACAATATAACACTTTAAGTTCCGTTCAGTCTCCAGAAATTTTTGTACAGAAGAACCAAGAGCTAGCTGAAACAYGGAGCCCGAAGCACATCTTCTCTGTTGCACAGTAATTACTAAAACCATAAAACACCTGGAACATGCCAAAACCTTTAGGGTTTTCTGCTGCATGGATCAAATAACTGTCAATTTTTTTTATGAAAAGGATTTTCTTGTTTTCTTCTCTTTTGCACACSCTGATATTCAAACCCAACGGGAGGGACTGCTGACTGCAGCTCATGGGGATTCCATTTGCTGGCAATGTAATCACATCTGGGGAAACCAACTGAGATGAAGGCCTGCAAAGATTTATACCAAGCTAATAGGAAGTTTTAGAGGAGCTTCCACTTTGCATTTTTCATTTCATAGGTTTGAAAGGTTAGGAGGGTGAGGGGACAGTTCTTCCTGCAGACAACTACTTATTATTTAAATTCTTGTCTCATAATTCAAGCTTTGTAATACAAAAATAAAATCAGCATACAAGAGATTGAAATGTAGCGAACTACAACTGCTCTCAGCTAAGAAAGAGAAAAAATGTGAGCTATTATCTTTAAAGATAAACATTTCCACTCATTATGTGATAGGAAGCAAACACACCTTTGCTCAATGTGCTCTTGTTCCAACACAGAATCTTGGTAACTCCATTACCAAAATTAGGTTGAGAAGCAGGGACAAGTGTGTRGGGCACCAGACTGGCCAGTCGAGAGATCTAAGTTTCAACCTCCGTTGTGTTACAAACACCAGCTAACCCACACTTTGTGCCTCACCTCTTCCACGTTTAATTCAGCACGTCTTTACTTCAAAAAGATGTCAGAAAGATAAAGCTCAGTTGTGGCGATGAGATAGCTGTATATTATGACATGCATCATATAATATTTACCAAGATAAGGGTGTTAAAGAATTCACCTGAAGTTACTGCGAAGAATTCAGATTTTTTAACATGAATCAATGAAAAGAGCAGTGTTTAAATTTAGCAATCATTTTACCAAGCAACTAAACATCATGCTAATTATTTTGCATGCAACTAATAAAACTACTGGCACTTGTGCAAACAGGAATAAAAACTGTCCAAGCCACACGAGAAACAGGACATGGTTTAGTTAGGCTATAATTGTACCTGTAACACCACCAGACCTTGAACAAAGAAAGCAGTAGATAATCAGTTCTCTTCGTGTTCATCTGTTTCAGTGGATGGGTATTGACCACTGTCCTTAAGACCTGTCATCCTCCGATTTACCCCTTTGTAAAAGTTTTGTCTTCCTGCAGTATTAATCTACAAACAGTCCCACTTCCTTTTCCTGCTTTCTTCGGGCAGTTTTTCTCCAAGCCCACCTCTAGCCCTGCTTCAGGTGGGATCTGCACTCCTTGCAAAACAGACACCTGTTCTGAAGACCCACTAACACTGACAGCTCAAACCACATCTCAGCTGAGCAGCTTATAAACCAAAGAGCAAACCCACTACCCCCCTCTCATCCAGTACCACACACGAGGAGAAAAAAAAATCCTAAACTTTACGGAGGAAAAGAGTAAAAAGTCCATAAAAATAAAAGTCCCACTCTGCTCTTGGTCAGGGAGAAATAAAAACAAGGCTGATGCCTATATTGGCTCATCAACACGAGCCATGACCAAGGAAAGGAAAATACGAGCACCGCACATAATACATGTGTAAAAGGCAGCTGTGCTCCATCACTTCCATTCTAGCCCCTGATGCCCTCTRCTTCTAACCAGGAAAGGTGACAAGGATAGCCATGCCATGCGTCCTCTCCCRCCACCAAGAGCAAATGAGCCACGTGAAAACGGCAGGAGCACACTCAGTTTGTGTGATATAAAGACGGTAACAAAACTAGAAAAGATTTTTAAGGACCAGTCTCTAAAAGCTATAAAAATGTAAAGATAACAGCAATATTTGTTCCTATCCACCTCAATGTATATTAAAAATACCTGTAAAACATTCATGCACTGCAGTGAGAAATATCYCAGAACCCCAGTTGTTCTATTTTCAAGTGCATTTTGAAAAGGTTGCAGTGATAATGCCAGAGACTAAAAATAGAACAGGAAAAAAAAAGAATAACTGCATTTATCAACTATCTTGTGAATTGAAAGATCTAGTGCTCCTGTGGAAAAAAAGACGTGATCATGTCACTAAAGACTATGTCATAAGCTGAAAAGCAAAGGGAATCTTACAGTAGCCAGAGTGCTTGATTTTAGAAACTTTATGTTTGTTTTGTCTTTTATATTTGCTATTTTTCCCATATGCACGCTTTTTTTTTAAAAAAGAATGATTAAACGCAACTCAATATGCAAACACATGATATTTAACCAAAACCTCCTACTATGCAAAGCAAAATATTCTCCGAATTAAAATATTGGATAGAACACCAGTATCAATCTGATCTTTTGCCAGACAAGATTTTCTTCCATTTTAAGTGKTTTTTTTTCATAATTTTGCCTTTTTTTTTTTTAAATAATCCTGGTTTCCATCTGTTTATTTCAGTCCTAAGGTATACAACACAATATTGCACTTCCAAAACAAATTCGCCTTTTAAGTTTGCCTCATAGGAAATACTAATTCTAGACATATTCTATGGACAATAGCCAACACAACAAATAGGTGATTTTACCTAATGCTAATAGTAAGTACAAAATACAATACAACATGGAATAAATAAGACTGTAGCACTACAGAAATGCAATCCAATATCCCCTTAATTATGTTAGATTTTACCACTGAGCTGTCAACAAGAATAGTCCTAAGTGATCTTACCCTGTTTCTTTACGACTGCACTTTCTGAACAAAAAAAAGGGGCAAGTGCCACCACAGCCAAGAATACAAATGCACTGAAACTCTAAGCAAACAAACCCAAGATGGGCAGAACTACATAATGCAAAACAAGAAACATGTTACTTCATGTATACAAGTAAAACTAGATTCATAAATCTTTCAAATAAACAAAACAGCATATCAGGAAATCAAATGGCAAATCAGCTATCATCCAGCATCAAAACATGCACACAAGTGCAWTTTGCATACAAGCATATGCACCTCTGCATATAATTCCTCACAAAGTGCAAACATTCAAGAAACCAGGAAAAAAAACACAAGACGCAACTATGGAAAGACAAATAACACACATTTACTGTCACTAGAGACAGATTTCTTTTTCCACCACCTATTCACCTAAAATTGGAGTCAAAGTAATCCAAAATTGAAATCCTAACTTCAGCCAACCAGCCTCTGCAAGAAAGCTGACTTCTATTGTCCTGGGAACTAAAAACTTCAGATCTGTTCCATCGCTTCAGCACTAAAACTACAGCCATTTTATCTGGCTACAAGGATTTAAATTACTGTTTGTGTTGATACAAAGTGCATCTGCAGTCAAGCCCTAATCTGATAAGTGAATCTGAATTTACATGTGAATGCACAATATACATTTATTATAGGATAACAAACAAACAGAAAAACACCCTAAGCACTTGCAGCTTCAAATTAGATATCTATGTCTGCAAGACAGGAAATGTGTACAACACTCTCCAAGTGACTAATGCCACTTGGAAAATGAGAACCAACCACTTCCATGCTGCCCAACACTGTTAAACAATGTTCAGGAGGCTCACCCCAAGCAAATAAAAATAATCCTCCACAAATTGCTTTCTCATGCTGGGTAGTTTTCTTCAGCAATGTCAGACTGAATGTTGACATGATGTTGCCTAACTGGCAACATTAATAAGGAGTGGTAATTGCACATCAAACCACCAGCCAAGTAAAATCCCCTGCAATACAACTGCCACTGTATTTCTAATGACTGGTGACTGCACATAGATGSACTGTTTAGCCAGGGTTTATACAGGTTGACAGGTGGTAACACCTAAACTCAAACACTGCACAATCTGGGGCCAGAACACCCATTCAAAGCCCCAAAACAGGACAAAGGGAGACAAGTCACATGTGCTWTGTCAAGCAGCCAGGGTGAAAGGAACTCTTCTTACAACTCTCTGGGTCCTCAAAGCTGTGCCTCCTACRGGTCAACTGCTTGGTATGCACAGAGACTGCTTGTGAACTATTATTAAAATTACCACACTTTAAGATTGTATCTGGTTAAATGTGACCTCCCTCCCTCCCCAAATAAAAGAAATCTAACTGGTACATTTGGCAAATTTAATAAATACTAGGTGCTTGCTAGATATTTTTCAGATTCTGGGGCAACCAGATCACACATTCACCGCAAACTATTTACCCTGCTTAGTATATTTCCTCCTCACTTACAACAGTGTATTTTCCTACCATGTGACAGAATGTGTATGTTTTACAGAGTCATTCCCTGGTACTCTTTTGAGTTCATCTGTAGCAAGCTGATTCACAAAGTGACAACACTTGTAACCCTTTAATTTTGGTGTGATAGTTAAGAAAAAAAATTGTCTCATTTGCTGAGATCAAATAATGTTAGCACGATCATTTTAAACTGCAAAAGCTCAGTATCACTGCCACAGAAAAGCTATAAAGCAACCCTAAACTGGGGAACTAAGCCAAGTATCTTTCTTCTTGCCAGATCAGTTTTAACTTGGAATAATTATTGATCTGCTTCTGGACAGAACACAGAAACAGTTTTAACGGAGAAACTGGAAGGAACAGGATTCCACAGATGTGGAAGCAATTCTTTCTCCAGTAGTGCAAGCTTAAATTAAAAGTTTTAAAAACTATCACCCAAGCTGACAACATTCCACTTCAGCAGTTTGGGGGGGTCTTCACTTCATCCACTTATTCTCCACTCTTTAGCTTGCCCAATTGGAATTTGTCAACACTTCCTAGCAAGTGGCACAACAGCATGCTATCTAATGCTTACAGTGTTGCATTTCAACTGACAACCCACCTGTTTTGTTGATTTTTTGGTGCCATTAAATATCTTCCAAGCGAGTCCATTACCCCCGCTGGCAATATGCCGGCCAACATCAAACTCCCTGGTCACAGGGTTTCCCATGACGGCGCTGGTGACATCGGCCGTCACCTTCGTCACGGTGCTCTTCAATTTATTGAGCATGGACTCCATTGTCTCAGGTGTTATCCTGCGATGACAAGGAAAAAAAGCTTCATAAACCACTCAGAAATTCTGTTAACATAAGACATGTTGCAAGTTATTATGCTACAGGATATCTAACCAAAGGATCAAGAGGATAAAGGAGTAACTAACACAAAAATACTGAAATACAGCTGAACTAGAGCTCTTCAAAAGGCTTTGCTGTTATACCTCCTCATGCTTCACACACAGATCTGTGCCCGCATGCCTGGGAATTACATGTCCCTGTTCCTCCACCTCCTCAATAACTTCTGAATCTGTTCATGCCCTACATTAGATCTGACAGGGAGACTGCAGAGTAAAAGATTCAACCATTCATAAAAACAGATACTTGAATAAAGCAGAAAGCCTCAAAACTATTCTCATAAAGGGAACGGCTCACAYCGCGGGCAACAAAAAATTAGTCAACCTCCAGAGTCATATCTGAAGAAATTTGCCTCAATTAATTTCAGCATTTGCAGAAATATACTTTTTCAGATAGAAAAGCTTTCTTAAGATCTCAGACTAGCAAGAGTACAGATGTGTATTACACAGAAGACAATTTAAAAATGTGTTCTTTCCTACACTACACCTGTCAAGCTGCAAGCTAAATATTATTTTACCCACAAGACTTGCTGACAGTGTTATTTATTTGATGTAAGTAATAATGAGCTAGTCAGTTGCTGTTGGGAAACGGAGCACAAAACTGTCTTCGTATACTTTATTCTAGAGCAAGATTATATAAGGTTTTTACATCACCTTAAAAATATAAGAGCTAAAAAATTGTTACCTACAGTTTAGTCCATCTTCGCCTGTACTCTGCGCTTTCATTCTTGCCTAAGCTGACATAATTCTTTCCAAAAAAAATCTGCTTTCCCTATGGCAGTAAGAAAACAGTGCTGGGAAAAAGCTCTAGAGCACAAGTCCCATTTATATACTGTCTCTGATTGATACTGGATAAGCAGGAATGGAGATAAGAAAGGAATACAGAAAAAAAAGACATATATTCACCTTACTTATTATTGTGAGCAAAGATGAAAAGAGAATAAAAGCAGAAATTATTTTCTGGATCAGAATTATGTGGTATATTCAAAAGCAGTAGTTAAAGACATTTCTTCATTCTCTTCCAAAAGAGGGTGCAAAGACTATTTCTTCAACCTAGGGGAAAAAAAAAAAAAAGATAGTACATTAGCAATTATGTTGAGATCTGTAGAGATGTTTTCATTTTCAGCCTCAGTTGTCACATATTTGATTCACTGATACCTAATTTTTGCAACAGGGAATTAACTTCTTTGGAAAATAAAAAAGTCACTGTTAACCAACCGGAAGAGACAAGATTACGCTGTGATAAAGAGGAAGGTTTCCAAGTCATGGTAGCAAGGACAAAGGAAGAACAAGAAACTTGCATGTTGTGCATTGAACACAAGGACTAATGAACTCCCAAATCCTTCTCATCTAACATGAGGTATCTGTTTGTAAGAATTAAACTATTTTTCCGCTGTTCTTAAGGTATTTATTTTTCTGCCTTATATAGGTTCTCTGGTGTCTAATGAATTATTCATTTATGCCACAACTTTTCCCACACTCAAGACAGAGATGGAGTTTGTTTCCCCTTCGCAGCTCCTCGGGTCTCACAGCACCTACAGGACRTTACCCTTGCCAGCGGGGCACCTGTCAGACCTGACTGAAATCAAACACACTGGACAGTCCTTGGGGCRCACACATTTTCTTCTCATGATACGTGTCTGATTGCATTGGAAAAAAAAAAATCTGATTATATTGGAAGGATACACTTGATTCCTAGGAGAAGGAATAAACATTATCAAAGTAATTTCCTTTAAATTTATTTCAGTTACTGAACAAATCATTCCAGTGTTGAAGCCCCAGTCCTGCGCAAACTCCAGCACAGCACCAGAGGCAACACAGCTRCGCTGCTTCATCCTGACTACTGTTGCAGTGATAGACCATCTTCAGCAGAGCAAAACGTACAAGTACACTAAGGCTGTGTCCCTGTAGACATTTCTCCCATTTCCATGTCAGCAGGGTGACACAACTGCCTGTAAACTGAGAATCAGACTAGCAGTTTTAGCTCACCAAAGAAAAGGAATTGTACAAAAAGAAAGRTATCAGTTGAAGTGATCTCTGCCAATGCTCAATTTGAAAACCAAAATAGCAGTTACAGCTTCAGTAAAAATGCTCAGGAGCAGAAGACATCATTGCTACCAGATTCAAGACAGTATGCAACACCTTATTAGTATATTTAGTTTCTGAATTGTTACAATAAAGTATCTGCAACTCTGAATTGTGCTGTCCAAGACCAAACAGTTCCTGGACACAGGCCAAACTCCAACAATGAAGAATCTTTTCATTAACGTGATACAGAGGGAGAAAGAAGCATCATGGACTATTCTAAAGAAAAGGCACAGGCAACCATAACCCTCTGGGATTTTATTCTGCAGCTATTCCATGGGGCAAAGCCTATATGCTAAAATACTATAAAATCAATCCTAATGAGTTTGAGATGACAACAAATCAGACATTAATTTTTAAATCTTGTGTTATTTGCCTTGTGTTTTACCTACTCCCAGACACCCAAGCCATTAAAACGTTTCTTCTCTAGTACCAGTGCAACAAAGTCTTTCATTAAAATTCTTAATGCTGGAGAGAGGTTTCACCCAATTAATTGCAGAGAGAGTGCAACAAAAATAAGGTTCCCATGCACATTCAGAAGCCTTTGTATGAGTTGGAAGAAGAGTTTCTCTAGACGGTGGGTGGAAAGGTGGTGCAGCCACTGACCAAATTCTAAGTGCCCACTGCTGTGTCTGACAAAGTGCAGCAAAAAGGTTGGAAATGACTGTAGGTGAGAACACTTGCACACAATCCCAYTGACAGATGGGTTCTGATTTAAAAAGCAGGGCTGGGGAGGTAGTAGCCCTGTCCAACCTGTTCCTTCCCAGCCTGGTAGCATGCAACCTACTGATTCATTCAGCCAGGGGAAAGGGGTACAGACAGATTTATTTCTCAATAAACATCTTGGTTTCTAAGTTTATGTCCATCTAACACTGTCTGTACATTTGTATAAAATCCTTCTGTCACTGTTCAGACTTATTGCAAGCTAGAAAAGCTGTCCTGCTTTTGCTCTAGGAAACTGTGTTGTTACCGGTTTCAGTAACAGCTCAGTACGTGTCAGTAGCAACAATATCGAGAAAATCCATAAGAAATGAGAAAAATATAAAATATACTATTTTGAGTAGTAACTGTAATACCATGAATYATGCTATCAATTTTTGAGATATGCAAATTTAGTCCTCAACTGTAAGAAAACAAGTCTTTTTTGTTTAACTGAATTATGATTTATAGAGAAACGAATAAGCCAAGATCATAAAGTCATGTCAGTCACCCACAGTGACAAATAAATTACTGTTTCAAGTTAAAAGGTAATAAATGAGAAGAGTGCATAGTCTTCAAAAGAACAATGACCAGGCAAGCAACACGGGACAAGTAATAAATGTTTGACTTTGTTTTCTTCCTGTTTGAAGTGCAATATTGCTGAAACTGACACCAAGCACACAAAGTCCTGAAAGAATCATACAAGGAAAGCTGCTTTATGATCAATATGTTGTCCTCGTGAAGCTCACTAATGATCACTAACAGCATTTATGCCAATGGACATCAGCAGCACCACGTCAGCATGATGAGRACCTAACCACTTTGCCAGGTACTACGCAACGGTCAGCACGAAAAAAATGGGGCAAAAGAGTGCTGATTCGGAAAGCAAAATAACCCCCAGGCGATGAKTGCTCATCGGGCTTCAGTTCTCGCGGCTGAGAAGCGACTGCAGGTCCCAAAGCAGGAATGCCGGCGGATGCACTGGCACGGGCGCGCTCAGTGCCACCTCCGCGCCTTGAGCTKCTCGTGTTTAACTGCCGCGCAGAGCGGCCGCTGAGGGCGCGGGAGCCCCGAGGCGGGAGCCCCGCGCCCGGA